AGCTCCTCCGCGCGCTCGCTGACATGTCCTGGGAACTTGATACCTTTACCCTTGAAGTTCGCAATCTTCTTTTGTGTGCTCTTCATGTCTTTCATCTCGAATGGCGGCTTACCCACAAGAAGCTCGTACATCAAGACGCCCAGACTCCACTGGTCGATCGCCTTCGTGTACCACCCTCCGCTCATTCCGGGCTTGAGCGTCATGACCGCAACCTCTGGGCTTAGGTAATCTAGTGTGCCGCACACCGTTGATCGGAACCCTGACTCTGAGTGTACGGAGTATCCAAAGTCAGCAAGCTTGATCTCGCCGTGGAAACCAAGTAGTATGTTTTCGGGCTTGATATCGCGGTGCATGATGTTTTTGCTATGTATGTAGCGCAGTGCGGACGTGAGTTGAGCGATATAGACGGCTGTTTGGTGCTCTGTGAACCTGCCCTTGGGCTGCTTGTCCATCTTCGAGTAGAGACTGCCACCCGGAGCAAATTCGAGCACAAGGTATATCGATTCGTCGTCGTGAAACCATGACAGTAACTTCAAGATGTTCTTATGCGCGAGGTTTTGGTGGATCTCTAGCTCGCGGCGTATCAATTTCTCCTCCTCTTGTGTTGTAGCCTGCGCTTTTGATATGATCTTGAGAGCGCACACGTAATCTGTCGCGAGATGACGGGCGAGGTACACGCGCCCAAACTTCCCACGACCAAGCGTACCGCCGACTTCGAAGTCGCGCGCTGTGAGCGAAGGATGGGGATCGGAGCCGGTGGATAGGATTGATGACGCTGCGGGGTCGCTCCGCAGTTCGTCGCTGGTGGAGGAAACATTGGGGCCAGTAGCGGGCTCATCGATGACGGAAAGTCGTTTTGCTGTTCGTTGGAGACGCTCTCGCTCGTCGACCGTCTTGCTCCTCGTTCCTGGTTTTGTAACCTTCGGTTGCCTGGTTGGCCGGAGAGCGTTGAGCTTCGCTTTCGTGTTCTGTATCTGCCCACATGTCAAAAGCATTCACCAAGGTGAGAGAAGCGATTACTTACCGACGACTTCAAGGTTGCAAGAACAGAACTAGAATAGGTAGCGCTCGGGGAGGCTGGGACATCTGCGTTTGCTGTGGACTTGCTGGGCGCCATGTTGTTCTGCTGGCGGTAATCGTTAGGCTGACAGTTCATGTTATTGTGATCGAGAACTTTGCTACACTCCATAAAGTGAAGGCGCGTAAATGACGACATCGCGCTCTCATTGCTCTAGTTTCAGTCTCGTTTGGTTCTCGTCACCAGGTGAACGAAGGTCTCAGTTTTCGCAACACCGACCACCACAACAAACGCTCAACGCCCATCACCGTCACTGTCAACATTGCAACATGGGTTTCCTCACCTCTGATATATTACAACTGGTAGCCTCTGGTATAAAGACGTTCACTTTCAAGAGTTATTCATCAAGACTCGAGTCCGGCCTGGCGCCGTTGGGCATATCGCCTGCTCAGCTCGCTAGGTCAAGGTCGCCGATTCGAGCATCGACAAAGACAGAAGCGAGACAGCACAGACCGTGGTCTGGTTTAAGAAATTAAGGAGGCTGTCAGCATACGGTGCGTGAGAGGGGCACCTATCTAAGTTCTGTCTTTTTGCTCTTTTGTGTATGCCATGTTTTTGCTCACGTGAAGCAGTATGCCCTCTCTCTTGCTGCGCCGTTCTGTGCTCGGGTATATATGCGATGGCGTAGCACGATGTGGCTTGAATCCCTAACATAGATATTAGTATTTTTCTAAGCAGTAGGGACTCTAACCGTACAAGAAGAGTGCATGTGAGAAGCTATCACGGCAGCAGGCCTAGCCGCTGCTCGACCACTTCCACAATCTCCCTCCAATCTTTCATTGCGCCACCACCGATATCTCCACACGCCAGCTCTTTCTCCATAGGTTGCAGTACCTCATACCAGCCTCCATTCTTTACTCCCCACTCTTCTTCCAGCACATGCAACTGTTTCTTGGTGATGGGCTGGAACCACATGGCGGTATTCATGCTCGGAGCGACTAGGATCCTCTTCTTCTGTATGCCGCCATGTTCTTGCGGCCATTGCATGCCTGGTATACTCCTCACTGGATCGATCAGACCTGTGGTATCCCATGCGCGCGCGACGGACAGCAGGAGGTTGTCTGACCAACCATGTGTGATCTTGGCGAGTAAATCGGCACTCAAGGGTGCAATGACCATCATGTCTGCCCATCGCCGTAGCTCAATGTGGAGGATCTTGTTGCCTCGGATCCATGGCTCTCTCCACTCGTCTTCGTCAAAGTATACTCCGTCGACGTTCGGTAACGCCTCTATTTCCTCGATCGAAGGCTGCTCCCCGCTCTGACCTTGCAAGAAGTTGGTTGCCGCAGCCGTGAAGATGAGCCGTATTCGTACGTTCGCGTGTTTCGCAAGCGCGTTGATCATGTTCGGTATCTTGATGGTCGCAACAGAACCTGAAGCGCATAGGAGGACGTGGATGTTGTCATCGTGGTGGTCGAAGGCGAACGGGTCTGTCTTGAGCGGGTCGTGGACTTGATGCTGGACGGGTCTGATGTTGAGCGGCTTGAGGTCGCGTACTTCGGCGGTCATGCTGTGCTGCCTTTACTAGATTATCCGTAGGTGTAAGTGCGCGAGCAGATTGTCTGAGGTTGAACGTCGGCGTCGCGTAAGCATGGCGACCGCATTACACAAAAGGTACCGGGGTATGCATTGGTGGGGGAGGTGTGATGCAGTGAGGTTTGACGGACGCTAACTTGGTCATCGGGGAGCTTGGCAGGAACCTTGGGGGATAGAACCTTGTCGCCTGCCGCGACGCGTGAGAGACCTCCATGCCAAGCGACACAACGTGCAACGCGTCAAATACACCCTGAGTACCTGATGCTTCACTCCGGACCAACTGGTACCTCCTTCAGGCTTCAGCCATGGTACTCATTTCACAACTTGACCGGAGCTCTGGTGGCTTATCTCCGTCTTACTCCGCCGACTCTAGAGCGGGAATTTCACGATGTTCAACTCTTCGGACGAACAAACAAACTTCTTACAGAGTCGGCCCTTAGATTTGAATCTCCATTGAGGTGCTGCGTTCCAACGGGATGTGAAGCTACAGCACTCGTGGCAGTCACATAGGTATGATCTCATGCATAGCGGGGTTAAGGAGTTAGTGGCAAGTGAGGTCAATGCGGGTGGGATACCAGCGTCATTGCAATCAGGTACCCGATAATTAAGCTTATTTTGCTTCGTCCGTTCCAGTGCCTATTTTACACTTAAAACCAAGTCCCTTCCGGTCGAATTGCACAGCACTCTGTCTTCTATCTGAACCAAACTTCATTACTCAATACCACAATGTCTCTACCCACTGCACCTCTCGGCCGCGATGGCCCTCAAGTCAACCGCCTGGGCTTCGGCCTCATGGGCTTGTCCTCATTCTATGGCAAGCCGAAGCCGGACTCTGAACGTCTGGCAATGCTTGACTTGGCCCATAAGCTAGGCGAACGCTTCTGGGACTCTTCTGATGTGTATGGTTATCGGGTCATTGGGCTCGACAACAGCTAACAGCTATTCTAGTTACGGCGACAACGAAGACTTGATAGGACAGTGGTTCAAGGCCAACCCCGACAAGCGCAAGGACATCTTTCTTGCTACCAAGTTTGCTTTCAAGGACTCGATGGGTACAATCGACACTTCTCCAGAACACGTCAGTCAACCAATGTAGAAACTGTGACTGGATCATACGCTGACTTCGTAATCCCACTTTTAGGTCAAAGTGGCCATTGAAAAGTCTCTTCAGCGTCTCGGAATCGAGCAGGTAGACCTCTACTACATGCACCGCGTCGACCAGAAGACGCCAATCGAGCTCACCGTGCAGGCCATGGCCGACCTTGTCAATCTCAAGAAAGTAAAGTATCTCGGTTTGTCAGAAGTCAGCTCCGAGACTTTACGAAGAGCGCACAAGGTCCACCCCATCTCCGCCGTACAGGTCGAATACTCTCCCTTCGCGCTGGAGATCGAGAGCAAGCAAATCGATCTACTCAAGACATGCCGCGAGCTTGGCGTCGCGGTGGTCGCCTACTCACCGCTCAGCCGCGGTATGCTGACTGGCGCCATCAAGAGCCCAGATGACTTTGAGGAAGGCGACTTCCGTAGCTATGCGCCCCGATTCAGTGCCGAGAACTTCCCCAAAAACCTGAAGCTCGTGGACCGCATCACCGAGATTGCGAAGGCGAAGGGTGTTACGCCTGGTCAGTTGACACTGGCGTGGTTGATGGCACAGGGTGACGACATCTTCCCCATCCCGGGTACTACCAAGCCTGAGCGCCTGGAGGAGAACGTCGGGAGTGTGAAGGTTGAACTCAGTAAGGAGGAGGAACAGAAGATTCGCAAGGCGTGCGAAGAGGCAGAGGTCAGCGGTGGACGCTATCCTGAGAGCTTTATGAAGATGTGCTATGCCGACACGCCGTCGCTGGATGAGTACCGCGATAGTGGTGCGGACAAGACGGGGGCTGAAGGAAAGCCGACCCACACAGCAGATATCATTGGTGGATCATAGAGTACCACATGGCACGATAAAGCGTAAAGAGTGCTCAGAGAAACTTGGAGTGTTCTTGGAAATGGTAGCTATGTAGGAATACGTCCAATTGGACACTCTGGCCTTTCAACTCTTGTGTCGCATGCCAAATGGATCTGTAAGCCAGATCGCATAGCCGCCGACTAACCGTGCGATGAATTTCGGAGCGAAAGAAACAAACACTCTGAGAAATCAGCCAATTCTCAAAGCTGGAGGGAAAGATTCATTCCATCTCTAGCGTACAGCAAGCCTGACTATGACATCCCTTTGCCTCACAAACCCAGCATTGAACGTCTTCCAGGGTCGATCATGAGCCATATGCATGTCGAAACAGCGGAGGAGCTCTGGAACGAGTTTGTGAACCTCCGCTAAGGCAACCTAAGGAAGATGTGGGATCAGTATACCAACAATAGACGCGACCCTAGTACAATGCAACTCTCATAGAAGACTTACGTTCTTTCCAATACATGTCCTCTTTCCTGCACCGAACAGCAGCATCCCCCTTTCCATCTCAAATTTTCTAGCCTCGCTCTCTAGCCAGCGCTCTGGTCGAAACTCCAAAGCGTCTTCGCCGAAGAGCTTCTTGTCGTACTGTACTGTCTGCGGATTGATACCGACGTGGTATCCAGACGGAATATAGACGCCTGACAGGGTAATACCCTGTGCAGGAGCTATACGACTCATGTTGAATCCGGTACTTGGAAAAAGGCGAGAGGCTTCTTTAATACACGCACTGATATACGGTAGGTGCTTCGTTGATTCTGCGAAGCTAACAGGTGTGCTGAGGAGGTGTTGCTGGGTCTGTAATTCCTGGGTCGCTTTAGACATGGCATCGGGCGTCCTTATAAGGTAGTATAAAACTGCCCTCAAGTTGACGGCGACAGAATCAGCGCCAGCCATAATACCAGCCCAAGACTCCAATGTGACTTCTTTGTGTGTGAACCAAGCTTCACTATCTTTCTGCCCCACTTTACGTAGGAGCTGAGAAAGGATGTCTTGACTCTCATCGTCCGCTTCTGCCGAGCGCTGTAGTCGAAGTTGTGTCTGGCATTTAGCTTCCACCACGGTAGCTTGTACGCCTTTGAACTGCTTCAAATTGCTAGGAACACACATGGCTGCCAGCATGATGATGCTGCGCATGTAGGTCGGTGCCGCAGTAATGAAAGCAAGAAGCGGGGCAGCGTTGTGTACAGATTCAATAAAAGAATCCACATGTGTACCCTTCTCCAAGAAACCAAAGGATTGGCCGAAAAGGATGTGCCCAATTACATCATGAGCAAATAGTTCGAGCCAAAGCCCCAGGTCTACCTCTTCGTTTGTCTTGGCAAATTTGTGCAGTCGCACTTTCAACAAGTTTGTGCAATCATCGATCGCATCTTGATGCTTAAGAATGCTGACCATTTGATAGGCAGGCTGGACAATCCGACGATACCTGGTGTGCTTCTCTTCGTCTGTCTCGGTGAAGAGGTCTGCATGCTCGCTGATACCTCGTGGGCGGAAAGAAACATACCTGCCGGTTTAGCAGTCATACACAGCGTGCGTATGGTACCTGTAAGCGTGACTTACCAGTCCGTCTTGGTCAAAGGTTTTTGGGTAGTGTAGACGAGTGATATCGCGTCTGGATCACTGGAGCTAACTTCGTTTGGAGCGATGCGTATAAGAGGGCCATACTGCTCATGTAGCTCGCGTTGGACGACCTCAAGATCACCAGAAAACATGCGGTACACTGTTGGTAAGTTCTGTGTTAGCAAGGTTGGCTTTTGAACAAGCTATCTCCCGAGCTTGGGACTTAAAGCAGTGGTTGCGAGTCCGTTGTGTCACTAAGAATGCAGATTTGAGGGGGGTCTTACTACTCAGCAATTAGCATTTCTCGTACCGCAAGTTATGTTGGAGTGTGTGCACCTGAGCCACGTTCGCGAGATGGCAGGCCATAACGGGCCCGGTACACGTGCAAGTGGGTGTAGTGTACGACAATAGACGATGCACATAACCCAGTATACTGCAAGCAGAAGAAGGATGTTGGTTGCAGAAGGCACTCGCAAAAGTTCGTTCAACGCCATTTTCGGTTGTCGCGATTATGTTGATCAAACCGAGGATGTCCAGTGGGCAGCTGCAGTGTAGGCATCGGACGCTCTTAAGTAGATGTGCCAAGCTTGTGTGCAACCACTCTGTGATGGTGTGTAGGTACGGCAGTCCCCTGCGTACCACTGAGAGCCCCGCGAACGACATGTACATATGAACCTTGGGGAGTGCAGTTGCTACCTGGCCATGCACACCCTTGAAGGTGCATAGTCTGGCATGCGTAAGCACACCGGACGAAAAACTGATGGTATCCATTGAGATTGCGCGACGACGGAACATGAGATGGGCATGATGGCGATGAAATCAAGGGCTTGTGAGAGAAAAAGCATGGTTGCAGGGAGAGGCTGGAGTGTGAGGGGATACGCCGATGGAGGAGGAAGCGGCGCTAGCGGCGTTCAACGGATCGTGGACATGTTGCCGCTTTGGGACGGAATAATCCTGGCAGGCCATCGCGCGATTCCGCTGACCTCACACCCGAGTCAACTTTCCACCACCTGGACATTCTCGTGTATTCGCCCTGGACAGCCCCTCACGTCGATACAGGGATAGCAAGCGGACGCCGCACATCTGTCTGCCCAGCCATTGGCCCCCGACGCATCCAGCAAAAGCACCCGTGCACGTCATCCTCGCGCGCTCCTCGACACATCTCCAGCGTAGCCATGGGCTTCATCACGGGCTTCGTAAGTGCTGCCGATCGCTTGCAATGACACTAGCTAACATGTGCAGCTCGGAGGCGTCACACTCACCACAGGCGTTCTCTACCTCAGCATCTCCCTACACACACAAAACCGCATAACACAAGCCGCGCTCCTACGGCAGCAACGCCAAGTCCTCACCGAATTTTACGAGCCCAAGAAGCCAGAACCAGAGCCCACAAGCCGGGAAGCACCCGTCGGGCTAGCCGAGATGGCCAAAGACCGCTGGAACCGAAGCCTCGAGGAGGGCGTGAAGAAGGTCTACACAACAGATTGGCGGAGAGTACGGGAAGAGGCCGAGGACAGGGCGAGCGTCATTATGCAGAAGATCAGGGAGAGCAGCAAATGAGTGTGTGGTCGCGCGTGTATACTAGGAACAAGTGAAGGCGGCGCTATGGCACGAATGCGACGATACCCCTCTGGCGACTGTACAAATATTCGGGCTTGCAATACGACCAGCATAGATTTTCCGAGTAGTTTGGTAGGCTGCTTGTGCACCATCTCTTTCGTTGCGTCATTCCGTGATCCTGGTCCTCGACTTTCAAGCTACTCCCCACGTTTTCCTCTGATATTGTTCGTTTGCGTCCGCATGGCAACACCGCGCGTTTGCCTAGCTCCCTCTCACCACTTAACCAGCAACACCACAACACTTTGGTTTCGTCTTGAACAACAACGCAGCCGCTTGCGCAACCATGGCGTCCCATGGCAAGGTTATGGACCTCTTCGACGAGCGCTATCTCGAGTTACAAGATGTTGCTGGCAACGTCGAGCCGCAACCCACTCTAGTACCTTATGAGCAGTACAAGGCTCACGCCATCACCTACCGGATGGACACGAACCATGACGTTTTCTTCGCGCTTCTCCAGGACTTCACGGAGCGCAAGGCGTTGGAGACGGGCAAGGAGCTGTGGACGTGGTGTGTGCAGTGGGAAGTCAGTCAGACAGCGGCTCGCCAATCCCTCGCGGCATCACAATCAGCAAAGAGGCCTCGCCTTGACTTGGACCCGCCGAACACCCCTACCGCGCCGAAACCGGCCAGCAATGCGCCTCCGATGAGTCTGCATGCTCGCTGTATAGATCCCGATCTCTTGCACGAGGAGGACATGTTGCGCATTCTGGTCGACATCCTGCAGGTCGACAGCACAGTGGTACCCAACTTCATCGAATTCCTTTACAGGTGGATCGACTTTTACGAAGGAGACGGAAAGGCTCTGAAGGCGGCTCTACATGGCGAGATTCCAAGCTTGTGGGACTTTGAATATCATCCATTTCTTGTCACTCAGGAAGCCAAAAAGGAAATTAATCAAGCAAAAGGTGTCGCCCAAGACAGCGGGAAGGACGGACAAGGCGGTGACACAACCACCCAGATGCGACAAAAACCCGACCTAGCGGCACTCGAACGCAAGACAGAAGAAAGCGAACGTCTGAAGTACCGCGAAGTACACTTCGGCATCCAGCCCCCAAAGCTAGACGAGCCTCTGCCACCTCTCATCAACGTCCCCCGAGACCAGTACAAGCGAGCCAAGTATTACGAAGCTTGTTTCAAATCGCGACAACGCGCGTTCTTCTTACTCGTAGAAGCAGGAGTCACCGCACAGAATATGCGAGACTACCACAGAGATCAGACAATGAGCCTGCAGGAAACGCCACCGCTCGTAGACGGAGGCGGCCTCAAGAACTACGAGAAGGACGCAAAACTTGCGCAAGCTTTCAAGTCGCTCAAGGAGCGACATAGGGCAAAGCAATTGGAAATCTCCATCAGCAACAAATTGGCGAACGAGGCTCAGTTTGCTGCGCGCAGTGCTGCTCCCCGAAGTCCATCAGGTGTCCCTCTCATCCCTACCACGACCATTCACGCCCGTCGCCCGGATGTGACCGATGGTATATTGCGCAAGATCCAGCAGACCAAAGATGAGGAGCTCCAAAGGATCAATATCGTTCCTACACCGCTTGTGGGTAAGATGAAGAGCACGCTGTTCCGAGGTGCTAGAGACAAAGCGGGTTTGCAACAGATGTTCGCGCGTAGTAGTTTCCCATCGATCCCACGTTCTTCAGGCAACTTTGATGGCGGTAGATTGAACAACAAGAATGACGGCGATGAGAGTACCGATGAAGATCCAGACGACGACATGAGTGTCCCAAGGACCAGAATGCGTCTGCTGCCTACACCCTTATTGCCAACGCCTGCATCGCTTCCTCGTCCGAACCTACCATCGCTCAAGACGCTTCCCTGTCCATCTCTACCACCGCCTGCATCGCTTCCTCGTCCAAACCTACCACCGCTACCGCGCCCACCGCCTGCGATGGCCTCCACTCAACCTCAAAATACGTTCATTCCTGACACTACATTGTTCCCCCACTTGCGGAACCGATCAAGCCATGCCGCTATACCCATTACAGAAGTTGCATCTGCTGCAGAACAGCCACTACCAAGTGTTGCGGCGCTCATGCGAAATATCACTCCAAATCCCGCAGACCAAATGATAGGGATGCTCAAGCAGCAGGTGAGTCAGGCTCTGAGTCGAGTGATGTCCCAGCAGAATGCCCGAGCTGGAGGGCCTAGCGTGCAAAATCCTCACTCTTATCCTCAACCACATGTTTCTGCGGCGTCTCAAGCTCCAAATATTACTGTGTCTGGACCGCAGTTACCTTCTCAACACCAACTGCCTAGGGGCTTCCAAGGCGGCTTCGGTCCTAATGCTCGACCGCCGCTACCACCTGGATTTGAACACCACCGTCATTCTCCATCTGGATACGGGGCTCCTCCTTCGTTGCCTCCGCCGGCGGGTCTTCCCCCTGCCTGGTTCCAGTCTGCTAATCACCAACCAAACCTGTCTCAGCAGGCTCACACATCATCTTGGCCAACACCACTAGGACGCTCTGATCATGCACCACCACCGGCTTTTGCACAGCGCCTCGCAGCTGCTCAAGAGACACAGGGTCATGCCGCTAGCTATGGTCAGCAACCTTCAGATGCTGGACCACCCTTACCACGGGCACCAGACCTGCCAAGTCTTAGCAGACCAGTTGGTCAGGGTGGATCTGTTCAGCAGCGCCAACTGCCCCCTCCAAATTCTCTACTGGCTCCACCTCAGGCGACTATGCAGCGCACTGCTCCATCTCCACTTCATCTTCGACCACCATCCCCTCTCTCATCATTCGCACCAAGTCTGCTAGCCACCTCTCCCTTTACCACATCCCACCGCGGTATTCCCATCCAAATCTATCTGCCTAAGATCGTCGTACCCGCAAACACCATCGGTCCCGGCGGACTGAAGCTAGGCGACAACGGAGTAGCCGAGACCGACGCCTTCCTCCTTGGGTACACACACCCTAAAAGCGGGAAGATCACCCTCAATCGCGCAGTGTTTCTACCCTTGGGCGTGTGGGCCAACGCGCAAGACAGAGTGCGAAAGGGTCACTATCAGGTACTGGAGAGCTATGCAGCACCGAATGGAAGACCATCAGTACCGCATCGCGCTGCTTATGAGAAGGTGAAGCAAGCTTACGAGATGATGGTCATGGAATCTCCAGTAGCGAGGGAGCGAGAATTGACAAAGAGGTGGAGGGCCAGTAGGGGAAGGATGACGGCGACTCAGAGGGGTGCCATCTGGGAAGGTTGGGCTGTGGAGGTGGACAGAGAGATCGCTCTGGATAAAGATGACAGAAAGAGTGCTTTTGTGCAGAATGCACTGGTTGATGGGGTAGATGAGAATAGTGATGAGGCTAGGAGGAGGAGGGAGATTGAGGAGTTGCTTGAGACGGATGAGGCGTGGGACTATGAGGAGGACGAGAACGACGAAGACGAAGACGGAGTTGAGCAGGATTACGGAGATGAAATGGAGGAGGAGGACGATGACGATGAGGGGGATAGCGATGACGACGATGACGAAGATGAAGATGAAGAAGAAAATGAGGCGGAGGACGGTGAGGATGATGATGTGTACATGGACGGCTAGGCTCAGATTCATGAGATACGACAGCGTTTTGGAGCTGTTCCTAGGGATGATCCATCTAGAAGCTCATTTTGAGTTCTCTTCTCTCCAAAAAAAGCTAGTCTAGATACAGCGTCCACCATCCACTTCCAGATTAACTCCTGTAATGAAGCCAGCTTCTTTGCTTGCCATGAAGATACACGCATTCACCACGTCGTCCACTTCCCCGATCCTGCCCATGGGTACATTGGACGTGAACTTTGTCCTGTTCTCCGGTGTATCTTCCATTCCTGTAAAGGCAGAGAAGAGACCTGTTCCTGTAACAAGAGGGCAGATAGACACGACTCGGATCTGATGGGGCCCGTACTCCGCCGCGAGGCCTTTTGTTGCCTGAAGTATGCATTAGTCACTGGGAGCTCGATGCGAAATTGAGATAGAGTCAAGAGTCAACTCACGTTCCAAATCGCGCCTTTACTCGCGTTATACCATACGAGGCCTGGTCTTGGTCTGGTCGCTCCAACACTCGCGATGTTGATGATCACACCTCCTTCTTTGCGCTCGATGGCTTGATCGACCCACGCATTGCATCCAAGATAAACACCTTTGACATTGACGTCGAAGACCTTCTCGAACTCGTCCTCCGTGACCGTCGTCGTAGGTTTACTGGTATATGACCAACCAGCGTTATTGACGAGTATATCGCAGCGCCCAAACTTGTCGATGCAAGCCGAGACAGTAGCTTTCCAGTCGGAGGTTTTGGTCACGTCCATCTTGTGGAAGGTGAGAGAGGAAGGGTTTGTGGCTGCCGTCGCTTCGCCGCCTGACTGGTTGATGTCGCAGACGAGGACTTTGGCGCCTTCAGAGGCCATGCCTTTTGAGATTCCAGCGCCGAAGCCTGAGCCGCCGCCTGATGAGGTTGTTAGTGAGATGTGAGAGGATTGATGAGGATGCGCTTTACCGGTCACAATGGCGACTTTGCCATCTAGTCTGCCCATGATGAGAGGGTTGATATGTTGCGCTTCACGGTGTGAACGTAGGTAAATCAATCGTGTCTTTTCGTATATAGATTCGAATTACTAGGGTCGATGTTGAGTCTCAATAGCCAGCGGCGATGTTGATGTTTTGATTACAACAGAGCAAAGCGTTCCTGCCTGCCATCTCATGGACCCTGATGTCTGCCACCGGTATCGCATCTCCAATCATCGTCAGTCGACTAGTCGTTCTTCGGAGTCGAGCACAGCAGTGAGGGGTAAGCGTGGTGCCCCGCATGGAGTTGACGTCGTGTTGGAGGACCACCGAGGTTTGAGCCAATTGGAGACCGTCTCCGCCGACGTTTCGCTGCTTTGAACGTCTGCGGCGTCTCTCCGGATCGCCTTTCCTGAAATATCCGGGTGTCGCTGCAGATACGCGCATTGCTCATGTAGGCTATACGCTGGAAAGTGGGGAAGCTCTGTTGTGTGCAGATGCTGATAATGGTGGCCGCGGAATCCATGCGCCTTCCAAGATCGTCTCCTCCAAGCAACTTCATTCTACACTCACCAGCTTCGGTTGTCCATACGCGAAAAATAAGTTCAAACATTCGAGAGATCAACACACGTGAACGATATCCAAATCGAAATCAAGATGGCGTCAGGCAGGAAGCACGAGCTACCGTTCAAGGTGCGTCAATACGAACTCGTTCTTGCGATTGACTCGTACTGATGTATCCCAGCTGAACAACCCAGACTTACTCCATAGCCTATCATTTGTGAATGGCGATTGGGTACGAGCGAAGTCGGGAAAGACGTTCGAAGTGGTCGGTCAGTCATCACAGCATGTCCTATCTGAACACCGAGATCTGACAGGGGAACAGACCCGGGGACAGGAAAGCCGTGGATAGAGTGTCCGACGAACGATGCATCTGATGTCGACGATGCTGTCAACAGCTCGCATGCGTGTTTCCAGGAGTACAAGAAGATCAGCCCGCGACAACGAGCACAGATGCTTTACCGATGGGATGCCCTCATCAAGGAGAACAGGGAAGACATAGCGACTGTTCTTGTGTACGAGACCGGAAAGCCTAGAGCTGAAGCGTATGGAGAAATCGATTACTCGACAGGCTTCACATGGTGGTTTGCTGGGGAAGCCGAGCGTATTCAAGGCAGTGTCTTCACACCCGCGCTACCAAACAGACGCATCTTCACGATCAAGCAGCCGCTTGGTGTCGCTGTTGCATTGGTACCATGGAACTTCCCCATCGCCATGATTCTTCGCAAAGCTGGTGCTGCATTGGCTGCGGGTTGCACGATGATTGTGAAACCCAGCCCGGAGACACCGATCACTGTACTCACACTGGCCTACCTCGCTCAAAAGGCTGGATTCCCGAAGGGGGCGTTGAACGTCCTGACCACAGATCTCGACAAGACACCAGAGCTCAGTGAGGCGCTTTGCCGGCATCCGCTTGTGAGCAAGGTCACGTTTACAGGCTCGACGCGCGTTGGCAAGCTAGTCGCTAGAATGTGTGCAGACAATCTGAAGAAAGTTACACTCGAATTGGGCGGCAATTGCCCTGTCCTGATTTTCGACGACGCGAATATCGAGCAAGCTCTAACTCAGATCTTCGCATTGAAGTACCGACATGCGGGTCAGGCGTGTATTACGGCGAATCGGATATACGTTCAGTCTGGAATCTTCGACAAGTTCCTCGAACGCTGGAACGCAGAGACACAAAAGATCGTCGTCGGTCACGGCTCAGACGAGAAGACGACGATGGGCCCAGTGACTACTCCACGGGGTGTCGAGAAAGCCCTCGCTCTTGTCGAAGATGCGAAGAAAAAAGGCGCGAAGATTCATACGGGCGGTAACAAGGTGGAGAAGGACGGTGGCTACTTCTTCGAACCTACCGTCATTACCGGCGTTACGCCAGACATGGACATTGCCAATGAAGAAGCCTTCGCCCCGATCAGTACATTCATCAAGTTCGAGACTGAAGATGAAGCTGTCAAGGCTGCAAACGACACCAGTATGGGTCTCGCATCCTACTGCTTCACAAAGAACGTTGATCGCACCTGGAGACTGTTTGAGAATCTGGAGGCCGGCATGATCGGGCTGAACACCGTAAGTTGACAACGAAGACATCGGAAAGCATACTAACATGTGCCAGGGCAACTCCTCTGCTGCAGAATCGCCATTTGGTGGTATCAAACAGTCCGGCTATGGCAAAGAGTCAGGGAAGGATGTCGCAGTGAATGAGTATTTGATTACCAAGACGGGTACCTTTACGCTGGAGGAGCAGTCGTGAGATAATAGATGTTTTACGAGGTGGTGAAACCCTCGAGCATATACATCACTTTCAACTGTTACGCGTCGTGGCTAGCTTCTAGGGGCCATGCTGCAAGCTTGGCTGGCTTGACGCAGGGTGAACTGACGACCCTGATCCAAACTTGTCTTGCTTGCACGTTCACCGTCACTCTGGTGTTTATGGTATTGTTGGTGGTGAGACACAATCGGGCAATCGTATTGTGCCGGGGCGTTTCAATCACGCACGTGATGACGTTAGTGCCCGCCCGCGCTTTGGAGCTTACCGACCGCGGCGCGCTGCTTGTACAGCTCTCGAACTGCCAACAACACCACCTCACCGAATTGCCGGACCTCTTTGAAATATAGCCGCCATCATGGACGACACGGACATGACTGATGTCGCTTACGATATTGACATTGATGTAGGCGCAGACATTGAACCGGTAGCACAGCCGTCGCAACCACAGCAGGTTGTCCAGGTGAGCATTGCGCCAGGCTGCACGAGAAGGCGCAATTGACTGACATGCGCGCCATCGCAGGAGCCGGCCGAGCAAGAACAAAACATACCCGCCGCCTACCTTGAGGACATCATTGTCCACGAAGCATGGCCCGAATCGCTCAACCTCCAGGGCGTGAGCGACTTTGACCCCAACGACCCCCTCTACTGGGCGATGGAGCATTGCCAGTCAGACCCGCGCGTTAAGCAACTACGCTGGGTAAACGACAACTCGGTCAACCTCGAATTCTACAATAAGGAAGACGCGACCGTCGCACTAGGCATCCTCACTCACTCCGACGTGGGCGACACCAGCAACCTCTCACTACAAGAGCCCCGCACAGCGCAACCATACTCAAAGAAGCCCAACAGTCGCCTCGTCATCAGGCAGTCCAACGCTGGCGACCAGAAGCCGAAGGGCGCAGCAACCAAGAGCAACTACTACCAGCGCAACCCAGACGTGGCTGGCAACCACCAGAGGGAGCCGCGACGGAACCAAAAACCGCAGAAAGACTATCTCGATTATGGCGACGAGGAAATGGGCTCCAGGGACCGATCAAGACGGGGGTACAGCCGAGACCAGTCCATGGGCGACTCAGGCGCTGACCGAAGGGGCCCGCGCCGGAACGGACGAGACAACCGTGATGGCCGTGATGGCCGTGATGGACGAGAAGTTCGAGGCCGCGGTGGCAGAGGAGGTCGTCCGCCCGCTGATGGTAGACTCAGGAATGACGACGTTGATTCCTACCGACCCGGCTCAAGAAGGTACTTCAGCGCATTGCCCCATTATCCTGTCAACAAGCTAACAGACCCAGTCCACAAGAGCCACGCTTCGGCCGTCTACGAGGACGCAGCGCCTCCCCTGCCTCCGACGAAGAAGGCGACGGTCGCTTCGGATTCGCAGAGAACGAGACCCACGCGGGCCGCCGTCGGTACCGCAGCCGGAGTCGCAGCCGCAACAACACTCGCCGTCGCCGTGAACCCAGCATGGATCGCTGGACACACGACCGGGCAAACTATGATCGCGGCGGCCCTGCGAGTGGTGGACGTTGGCAGAAGGACTCTTTCCTTGACACTTCGCCAATGGGCCATAACCACCACCGGTCAAACGCCATCGACGCGACATACGGATCAAACAAGTCACGAGGAGGGGATTCGTTACTTTCTCGCATGACCAAGAACGGACAGCCCGTGCTTCCGCAACAGAAGCGTTCGCTAGCCGATAGAATCACACGCGATGACGACGATC